ATTAGGATGGCAGGTTTTTCTACTCTCACTTGAGAACAGAATTCGCAAAGCCCCTTAAGGAGTGGAGGTTCTCAGAGACCTGGGAGTACTCTACATTTCCTTTCCCTGATTGTATAACACACTGTGTTCCATGTCTGGATGGGTAGCCGAAGTAGCCTCTGTCCCCACAGAGGCCATGTGGAAAGCTGTCTCAGGAAGATCTAGATCCCTCTGGGAAGACGACAGTGGGGCCCGGGGTCTCCTGGTTGTCCTGCTCTCCCATCAATCCTGGGGGTGGTCTTGGACCTGACCTTCTGTGCTGCATTGTCAGGATCTCAGAGAAGCCTCCCAACTACTCACCACCTGTATCTCTTTTAGGTGGTCCCTGCAGGCTGTGAGCAAGTGATAGCAGGCAGAGAACTCACGCAGTGTCTCCCTAGCGTGGAGGATGTGAAGATGGCCCTGGAGCTGTATAAATTGTCTTTGGAGATTGAACTCCTGGAACTGCAGAAGGACAAGGCAAAGAAATCCACTCTGGAGTCACCACTCTGATTTTCCCCAGAAGGTGCCCTGCTGCCTTCCATTCAATATGGGTCACTTTAGTTAGCAACTCTGCCATTCTTTTGCATTGTAATGAATACCTAAAAATGGTAATTTTTTTATTTTGCCAGTGCTCTGAGATTATAGAATTGTTGATAATCTTGTGGCTCACATTTTTGCTTTTTTGGACACAAATTGCACATTTTTCCATTAAAAATTTACTTATAGAGTACAATTTTGTCTTTGTGGTCATTGAAGCTCTGTGAAATGAGGTCCATATACAGACCCCAAAATGTATTTTCATAAAGTTACTACATTAATTGTATTGTATGGGTCTTGCTTGTGGACTTGGGTTCGCGTCAGTTATATTTCCCTGGAATACCTTACTGCATGTTCCCCATGTGCAAATCACCAGGTCCTCAGTATTTACATTAAATGTCAATACACCCCAAAAGTCTTTTCCATTGTCTCCTATTGGCAGAGAGTTGCACCCTTTCTAAACTTCGAAGTGCTTGCTCTCTGACTTGCTAAGGCTGCCTCTTGACTTCATCTTATATGAAGGGCATTTATATGTGTCTGACCCACTTATTTCATCCTCAGAGATCAAACTCTGAAAGCTCGATGAATGTGAAGCCCACGTGGCAGCCCCCTGTGCATTCGCAAGTCCTCCATCTGATATAGTTCTTATTTTCTTTAATAGACAAATAAAAAGCCTTGAGCAACTATCCCACACACAAGGAGACACCCCATGAGAATCGCTTTTATATCTCGAGGTATTTCGGAGGCTCTATTCACTTCCACTCACCACTTCCTCCAACTTTGCATCCTCTGCAATGAGGTCCATATACAAACCCAACAATGTTTTTACATAAAGTTACTACATTCATTGTTTTGTATGGGTCTTGCATGTGGACTTGGGTTCTCACTCATATCTCAGCTCCACTGACTCTCTTGTCTTTCTCTAGTACACAGTACCTAATGGTTAACATTGGCCTCTTTTGTTTAATTTTCCCAAACATACTCTGAAGAGGCAATGGCTTAGAGCAGGCTTTCAGTAAATGACAGATCTCATAGAGGGGCTTGGACTGTTAGGGAAACCCCCTTACTGGGAGGTATCTATCCTTGGTGTTGAATGCCATTACCTGCTCCTGCTCTGAGGAATTCCTTTTGCTTCATGTTTCTTTTGAGTTTCCCTTGAGGCAAGGATTTGTGGGTACCTATTTTCCCTGACTGGTGGCCCCAGAAAGCTTGGCAAGTGGGTGAGTAGTAAGATGAAGAAGGGAGGCCAGTTTAAAGAAGGAGCATTTCTGAGGGGATTATTATTGCTGTTGCTGACAGGAGCTCAGTTAAGCTGACTGCCCTCTGAATGTGTGTGGAACCCAATTATGATTTATCCTCTGGAGAATGAAGACCTTGGGTAATTAGCGAATAGATCTTGCTCTCAGGACATCTGACCCACACTGCAGACCAGCTAGACATGCTCCTGACCAAGCTGACACTGGTTCCCAATGGCACCTATGGGACTGTGTGAAGTAACCTCCAGGGTAGAGATATGATCAGAGAAAGCAGACACTGGGGTTGGAAGTGGTCCAGAGTGTGCCAAAGTCAGAGGGCTCTAGTGATCCTGAGAGGGATTTGACAGTGTCTGCCACACACTTGGACATGCAGTGGTGGTTTTCCTGTCTGTGTACTTGCTTTCCTGTTCTGTCTACCTTTGGTTTATGAATTCATGTTCTCCTCTTTCTTAATGAATTTCCTAATAGAAAGTAAAATATGAGTTCCTGCATATTTGAAAGTGTCTTTATCCAAATACTTGATGGATAATTAGTTGGCCTTTTAAGATTATATCCTGAGTATGGCCTTTAGTTTAGCCTCCCAGCTACCTGAGACAAGCTTCCTTTAAATATTGACAAGGACACCTTCTGGCTTTCACACTTGGACTTAAATTGTGATTGGTTGCCTTGATCTCTCATTATTTCAGCTAAGGGGCACTGATTCTGTATTAATGGCACTCAGTCACCCAGTTTCACAACCATTATTGCCATTCCCACTGCCCCTCTCAAGTGCCCGAGGTATTGCACAAGCCAATGCACCTCCTTCCATCTACATCCCCTGGCACTTACCAGGTGAACATGTTCATAGCTGCAATGCTACAGCAAGCAGCACTATCAATATTCACCCATGACCAGTGATTGCCAGTTGGCTGGTGGGTGATCCAACTCTAGAATCCAATTCTTAGAGTTTGCCTTTGAGGTCCACTTGTGGTACAAACTGTCTTCAGTCAGTTTCTCCAGAATGGATTTAGATGTATCTAAATTTTTGATAGTGTGCTCATCAGGAAACACACACACACACACACACCCACACACTCACACTAAGAGGTTTGAGGGCAGGTTTCCTAAACCAGTTTCCTCATTTATGCAATGAGGAAGGTAAAACCTGTGTCCTAGGCCAGTGGTTGGCAAACTCATTAGTCAACAGAGCCAAATATCAATAATACAATGATTGAAATTTCTTTTGAGAGCCAAATTTTTTAAACTTCAACTATATAGGTAGGTACATTGTTCTTAACTTAATTAGGGTACTCCTAAGGCTTAGGAAGAGCCACACTCAAGGGGCCAAAGAGCCGCATGTGGCTCGAGAGCCGCAGTTTGCCGACCACGGTAGGGTTTTTGAAGATTAATTATGATAATTTATATAAAGTTCTGGTACCCTACATGCTGAAAGATTAAAAGCAGGCTTCTGGTTAATCCTTTAAATCACTTCTCTTTATTGAGATTCCTCTTTCTAAAGGAAGTAGCCATTTGGTGGCTTTGTTTTCCTTGATCTCTAGGAAGTTAACATTTATTTGTGCTTTCCTCAGCATTCCAAAGAGTTTCACTCAGTTATATTTGGTAATTCTTCCCATTTATTTTTGAGAGATAAGCATTTTGGTTCCTATGGGTACGTCGTAGTCATTCCAGTTCAGCTGAGTAGTGAAGATTCCTTTAGGACAATTTCCAGAGCTTACTCTTTTGTTTGAGGCAACAATCTAAGCACAGATATCCACAGCTGGTGGGCAAGATATGGACTCCAGGTTGGTAGTCTCATCTGTCCCACTCAAGGAGACAATTTAGGCAATAATCTGGATGAACAGTCAGGCAGTCTTCGATGGTTAAGAGACACTTAGTCTTGGGGTTACCAATTCACGAAGCAGAACAAATGCGTCTACCATTCACTTGTCTCTTACTGCTCAGAGACAAAGCGCTGGGCTTCCTCCGCATCCAGCATCATCCAGATATTTGAAAAGTCACACTGAACCTTCCTTTCTCCTTAATTGATCATCTCCAGCCATTTTCCTTTCAGTGCATGCTTCTCAGGTGCAGACACAGACTAGCATAGTTCCCACACCAGAACGGTTTCATAGAGTGAGTCATTTGGTGTTTCATGTATATCAGCAAACCTAGGAAATAAGGAAGCTCCCATTGAAGTATTATAAGAATAACAAGAGGCCTGATGCACGAAATTTGTGTTTGGGGTGAGGGGTGTCCCTCAGCCCAGCCTGTGCCCTCCCACAATCCAGGACCCCTCGCTTCTATCTGCCCACCTGCTTGCTCCTAACCACCTGCCTGTTTACTCCTGGGTATCCACATGCTGGCTCCTTACCCATTGGCTCACAGCTCCTTAGTGCTGCTGTGGAGGTGGCAGAGGCTCCCGCCACCACTGCTACACTCACCAGCCATGAGCCCAACTTCCTACTGAGCAGCGCTCCCGCTGTGGGATCATACTGAACACCAGGGGGCAGCCCCTAATTTGAGGGACTGCCCTCTGGTTGTCAGTGTGCCTCATAGTGACCCTTTGTTCTGGTTGCCCAGTTGTTCTGCCATAGCAGTTGCTGGGCTTTTATATATATAGATTATTGTTTAGAATGAATTCTTGAGTATTTTCCCATAGACTCATATTAGACTCTTCTGCCTAGACCATAGGCTAACTAGAAAGAAATTTAAACTTTTACATTAAAAAACTTTATTCTATGAGCAATTCAAACACCAAGTGGAAGAAAACACTTTGCTGGACAAGTACTGTTTCTCAGATATTTTCCTTTCTTTCATACTATGCCTTATAATTCCTGGAGAGCCCACCACATACCTTGAGCATCAGACCTGCAATCCTGGTACCTTTGCTTTCATTTACTCAGAGAGGAATCATATGTCCAGAAAGCAACTCATTACCTTTACCACCCCAACAGCAATGAAGTCTTGGGGTTACAATAGTACATACATACAGAACCCCACAGGGCTCTTGCATCAAGCTCTAGACTCTTCTTCCCAAAACTTTTCAGCTCACCCTGACAGAGCTGAGCTCAGCACCTGGTCTTCTAGTCACTCCCCCTGCTCCTCCCCTTTAGTGACACAGTGCTGGGACTTTGCCAAGGCCGAGTTCCTTGGCTTAGACACCATATTGACAGTTACTTACAGAACATTTCTTCATTTTGATTCGAGGTGTCTAAGAGCGCTGAACCCAGTGTGGCACCTCTGAGACTCTGCACCATGCCCCCCAAGTTGCAGAGCATTCTCCCAGCCCTGTACCTCCTGGGGGTCTTGACCCTACTGCTGTGCCCTTCAGGCCTGTGTGGTGAGTACTGTGGTTATTGGGGAAAGGAGGTAGTTTCTCTAAGATATAAAGAAAAATATCAAACAATAGTTCATCAAATGTAGTCAAGTGGTGGTAATTTATAACCTTTTTGAAAGAGTAAGATGAACTACATTATTAATAAAATGAAGAATTTTAAAATATAAAAGAAATTCTTCTAGATAGAGGCAGTTATTATGTCTAGAATAATTGTGTTGATATGTAAAAATTCTTGTGAGGCTGCTTTAGCAAGGAATAATCTTTAATTTTCAAATCAATTTCTTATATTTCAATGCTCCAAAATGTTTAAAATACATTTACTTTCTAAATAAGTTAATTATGCCATCTACAGTCTTAGTTAGTGATTCATTGTGGGGAGGGAATTTCATCAGTAAAAGAAAAATATTTTCTGTTTTCACAAATACTTAGTATTTCTAGAGTAAAAGGAGAACTATAAAAATTATACAAATATAAAGCATTGTTATTGAAGTGGAGAAAATTTTTTACAAATGAAGGAGAAATATAAGAGTTTAAAAGAACTTAACTATAACAGTTCAAAGATATGTTGTTATGGAAATTAATGTGTTGTTATATTATCTAAATGCAAATGTCCTTTAAGCAAAATATTTTCCTCTTGTGCTAGAATTTTTTTTTACTTGAGAGAATTTGTCTTCATTATAAAGATATTTCTATGCATATTCCCTGTAAATGGCTATCATGGCATAAAAAATGTAGGATTTGATATTGCTTCGAGGGAAAATCCTGAATCTAAAATAATAGTTGAATGTTCTCATGTGAGCCAGCAGCTTGATTTGAAAGTGTGGAAGCCATGCCTTCTCCATCACTGAGAGAGGTGGGGGGAAAGCATGGGTTTATTAAGGAAGAATTTCTATCTGGAAGGTGATTTTTCCCTCAAACACCTGGACATTACTGAGGAGTAGCACTAGCTTTAGGTTGGAGAGTCAGCCCAGCATGAAGAACATTCTGCCCAGGGGATGTTCAGGCCTCCAAGTTGTCTCTGAGTTTTCCTCTCTTAGAGTCTGAGGTAACAAAAGAAAACCTTACTAAGTTGGTCAACATCTTTCGATTATTTCTTCATGTGTCTGTTTCCCTGTCTCTTTTCTTCCTATTTCATGAAATCTTCCATTATCGATGGCCTCAACCCTTTGAAATGGCATTTAATGTCTGTCAACTTTGACCTGAAATCTCCCTTTCTGATTCTGCCTCCCGTTTTCTTTATAGTAACAACCTTCTGAGGCCAGAGACTTTGCTCATTGCCTCCGTATTAATCTGCCTCTACCATCTTATCAGCTACTCCTTCTACCCATCCTTCATGTATCTCCAAGTCATTCCTGGACGTCTTTCCCTGATACTCCAGGCCTCAGTTCTGTCAACCTTTTCCGGTAGAACTCATTTGTTGTCCTACTCTCCTAGCATTGGTGTGACTGGTGTTGTAGTGTAACTATTTAATTGGCTATATCTCATCTAAGTATATTGCAAGTATGGCTCTTAATATTACCTGAAGAGCCTAGTACAGAACTCCATACATATGTTATTCATGAAAATTAAGAGCTATTTTTTAATCCTCACCCAAGGACATGATTTTATTGATTTTAGAGAGAGAAGAAAGGAGAGGGAGAGGTAAACATTGATCTTTTGCTTCCTGCACGTGCCCCAACTGAGATGGAACCCACATTCTGGGTATGTGCTGGAATAGAACCTGTGACCTTTTGGTGTTTGGGATGACACTCCAATCAACTGAGCCAAACTGGCCAGGGCAAGAGCTACTTTTTATATTTTTAAGAAGGTACTTAATCTGAGGTTACATGGAAGCTGTTGACTTACACACAGATGAATTAAACAGAGTTTACCTTGGAATTGCTGAACTTCCCAGAGTTTAGCTTTGGAAGGGCAGACATAGGGAAGCAGTGCTTGACTTGAGCTGAATCTTGGCCTCTCGGGTGTTTAAAGCTTGCTCTGTCTCCTGTGAGTTTGTTTGTTTTTGTGGGTGCTTCATCATCACTGAGGATCTGCCAACTGCAATTCCTGGGAAACGGTCAAACCCACCTCCCAGTCTGGTTGATAGCTTCCCTGTTCCTATCTCCTAGATTTCTGGTGACTCCCAGAGCTTGTTTTAACTGAGGCCTTCCTTGTACTTCAGGTGGTCCTTTTCGGATAGACCTGACGAGGACTCCACCTGGGTGTCTTTTCAATGCAGTCTAGTTCTAGTCCATGGAAGGTACTTATCCTTTGTTATGAATAATGTGAGGAATACCGACCAATCCTACAGCACAGAAATCTGTCTTTTGCTGTCATCATCAGAGCTGCTGAAAGAAGACATACCAGGCTTTCTCACAACTCTTTTCTCATCTACATTATCTGGGGCTAGAGGTAGTATTCACCAGATATCAAGAGCGTTATAAAACACTTCCCCAAGTATTATGCTTAAAAAGTTAATTTAACTGGTTCTGAGCCACCTATTTTTCAAGTATGGAGTATTACTTGACATTGAAAGTAACAAGAAACTGCTGTTCTAATCCCCAAATTTTATTAATCACTGGCACGTATGTAGAATATGTCACCCCTTTAAGGTTGTGTTTCCTTTTCTTTAGAATGGGCATGATGATAATACTGCCTCGAAGAGTTCATGTGAGGAGTAAATGATATAACATACTAGTATATGAAATGATTAACACAGTGGTGAAGGATGAACACATCCTTTCTCTTCATTTTGTTAAGGAAATGAAACACACCTCAGTAGTATGATTTAATGACTTAGTTCTATCTCATGAGAGGCGTATCTCAATCTGAATTGTTAATGAAATTAAACTCTAGCTCATTCTCTTTCACCTTTCTGTATCACCATTCAAGATTGCAGGATACCTCCTGGTATTGCCCATGGATCCCATCATGACATAAGTTCATTTTTGTCCTTTACGACTGTGGTACACTATGAATGTGACGAAGGATATGTTCTGGTTGGAGACCCCCAAATCACCTGCAGAAGTTCACAATGGTCATCTGCAGCCCCTCAGTGTAAAGGTAATTTCAACTTTACTGATGGCTCTTGTTAAGGTAGAACCACCGTGAAACCTAGAGTCTCCTCCCAGCCAGAGGCAGCACTTAGAAATTTGTATTCTGTTTATTTATTCACTTCATGTAGTTAATATTAATGCATGCATATAGTACCATATTTTAAAAGTGTGAACCAAGATGTATGTTTTCAGAGGTACGTTTTCTATAAGGCCACCTTTTGCTTTGTTTTAACAAAAGTTTTAATTTAAATATGACATGCTATAGAATTGTGCACAAATCTTAGGTATATAGGGCAACCAGTATCATAAAGTGAGCCTGAACCAACCGATGAAACTATAACTCAGGTCAAGAAGCACTACCTTTGCCAACACTCAGAAGTGTTCCACATGTCCTCTCCCATTCGCTACCCACAGAAGGTCACTAGTCTAACAGCATGGGTTAATTTTTGCCAACTTTTAAACTTGATATAAAGAAAATCATGCACAAGACACTGGGGGGTAGGGGAGGCCAGAGGAAGGTCAAGGGGAGAAAAAAAGGAGACATATGTAATACTCTTTGTAATACTTCAAGCAATAAAACAAAATTAAAAATAAAATAAAATAAGAAAATCATGCACGTACTCTATTGTGCCTGGCTTCTTTCCTCACCATTATGTTTTGGAAAATCACCTATGTTCTTACTTGTAATGAGAGCTATTCATTTTCATTGCTGTATAATATTCTTTTGGATGAATATACCCCATTTTATGTATCTTATACAAGTTTGAATTTTTTATGTTTTAGGCTACTATGAATAATGCTCTTATGAACATTCTTGTGCATGTCTCTTGGTACAAATGTGCCAACATTTCTGTTGGGAATAAATTTAGGAGTAGAATTACTGTTTCATAGAGTATGCACATATTCATTTTTAGTAGGTGATACTGACTTTTGTTCAGAGATGGTTGCAACGATTTACATTTCCACCAGTAGTGTATATGTGTTCTAGTTTTGATAAACAGAAGTTCCACATTCCAATTTGGCTCAATTTATCAATCTTTTTCTTGATGTTAGAGCTTTTTGTGTCCTGTTTAATAAATATTTGCCTACAACAGGGTCACAGAAATATAGTCTCCTATTGTTTTATCTTTCACATTGATACCCCCAACCCACCTGGAATTTCTATGGGCTTATGGTGGAAATTAAAAGTCAAAGTTTGTTTTTCCCCAATGAATCATCCATGAACCCTGCACCACTTATTAAAGGGACCATAGTTTCCACACTGCTCTGCAGTGCTGCACGTATGCTTTGGTTTCTGCTACCATATTCTCACAGCAAAGCTGACCTCATAGGAGGTTCCTGGTTGACCACAAAGGTTAGGTGTCCCTTTAAAAAAATACCACACTATAAAAAACAACTCAAGGGACTAATGTCTCTCCATTATTTCCATTTAGCGCAAAGAGATATTAAGAATATGCAACTTAAAAATAAAAAAATAAAAAAATAAAAAAAGAATATGCAACTTAAAATTATAGTCTTAGGATCATGTAAAAAGTAAGGTTTTGAGATATAGTTGCTTTGAAAACTCAGATTCTAGGACCACAGTACCTAGGTTTATATCATAATCATGCTACCGAAAAGCTATGTAACCTTAAAGTCACATAAACTATCTGCACCTAATTTTCCTCTCTAGCAAAATGCAGATAATAATAATGTTTTATGTTGATAGTAGAATGTAAGTTATTTTTATTTTTTACTGTTACAGTAATACAATAAATAGAGGTCAAAACAACTCACATCATGCAGGTATAATTTATTATCGGTGTTATTCACCCCTCAGTATTCTCTACTATTGTAAGATTTTATCCTGAGAATCACAAGACGATCAAAATTGTGTTTCCATGAACAACAGCTCTGTGTCTGAAACCAGAGGTAGAAAATGGGAAGCTGTCTGAGGATAAAGATCTGTTTGTTGAGTCTGAAAATGTCACCATCCGGTGTGACTCTGGCTACGGTGTGGTCAACTCTCAGAACATCACCTGCTCTGCAAACAGAACCTGGTACCCTGAGGTGCCCAAGTGTGAGTGGGTAAGTGGAACACATATCAGGGAGCTTTATCACATTCTCCAGAGCATTGTCCCAATCAACACTGATGAGCTCTGACTTTTGTCAGGAATCGTTTCTGAGTTGTTTAAATCACTTTTGGAATCAGCAATTCCACCCTCAAAGCCCGTGGTGAGCTCATTAAGGCAAGTTCTAACTCTCTCAAGTTCTAATTCTCTCATTTAATAGCAAGAAAACCTACGCCCCTAGATAGGAGGGCAGGGTTCCAAAGACCCAGGTAACCTGGGACCAGCCCTGTGTTTTCTACCATAAGTGCTATGCTTGTGCATCGCCATCAACACCATCCCTTCGGTGGTCCCTGAAGAGGTGCCCTGGGTGTCTTCGGCAGCACTGTTCCTCCCCTGCTACATTGGTCTGGAATCATTCTCTGATGTTTCTCTGATTTACGCCCTCATATCTTGGATTTCTTCCATCCATCCTGCGGAGGGTCCTGATACTCCACTTTTGTTGTCATCAGCGAGGCATCCTGAAGGAATCTTCTACTTCCAACAGTTTGGAGAGAAATTCACTCAAAATCCATCCTTTTATCTCTTTTAGGAAGTCCATAATGGCTGTGAGCAGGTGGTAGAAGGCAGCAAACTCATGCAGTGTCTCCCAAGCCCCACGGATGTGAAAATGGCCCTGGAGGTGTACAAACTGTCTCTGGAGATTAAACGACTCAAGCAAGAGTAAGACTTGAAGAGGAACACCCGTTAGAAATCAGTACAACATAAACCAATGAGCAAAAACAGACCTAGAGACAGGAAGCATCAATCAGACCCTCAAACCTCAGAGGAAAGGTAGGGGAGGGTGGGGGTGAGGGGGAGAGATCAACCAAAGGACTTGTATGCATGCATATAAGCATAAGAGATGGACGCAGACAACAGGGGGTGAGGGCGAGGGCAGGACTGAGGGGATGAGGGGACAATGGGGGTATAAAGACACATTTGTAATACCTTAATCAATAAAAATAAAAAATAAAAAGAAATCAGTACATCGCTTTCCCCTCACTCATCACCCCCCAGTAAAGCATTAAGTACATTTCTTATTAGCAAGTCTACTGTACCTTAAGTATTATTTACTGGGGAAAAAAACACACATCTGTTTTAGAAGAATCTTAGTGACACTGATAATGTGGAACTATTGATCATTTGTATCTTAGCTCATATTAAGCTCTGTTTTCCTGGATTTGGTGGAACGGCAGAAATAAATAATCACCTGTCAAAAATTCAGTGTCTTTGTTTCCACTTTGATTCCTGTGTAATGCAAAATTAGGGTCCTCTATGAATCATTCTCTGATGTTTCTCTGACCTAGGAACCAAGAGGTCAGGGTACATGTCCGGGTTGCGGGCTCCATCCCCACTAGGGGGCGTGCAGGAGGCAGCTGATGGATGATTTTTCTCTCTCATTGTTTTGTCTGTTTCTCTCCTTTCCTTTCTTTCTAAAAATCAATAAAAACATTTTTTAAAAAAAGAAAGAAAGCTGCATAGCTGACTTTTACTAAAGCTTAGAGTTAACAGAGGGGTATGAGGCTGGCTACAACACTGGACTCCCAGAATGCATGTGACATAACTAATCAGGAAAGACCATTGCCTTCTGCTGCCATCAGGAATATTATCTGGCTGACTTTCTCTGCATGACCCTGCCAGCCTCCGGGCTGGTCTGATCTGCCACTTTCCCCCCTCAAATCTCTCCTTGACACACGTGATCCAATCTTGCTCCCACTATCCCAGGAACCCATTTTCCTTTATTAGAGAAAGGATTTTAGCTCTTGGTCTTTCCCTAGTCTCAGGGATTTATATCCAAAAACTTATGAATATACTCAAATAAACAAAGGACCGTCCATTAGGTTTGAGCACCACGCTGTGGAGATCTAGAGGAATCTCTGAAATATGAGTCTTTCTGTATTTCCTCACCCTCAAGTCTCTGTGGGGGGCAGTGTGGAGACATTTTCACACAGATGTGAATTATGTCACTTTTTTTCCCTAAATTAATTTCACATAATTACAATGATAAAACAAATACGTGTATGTGCAAGCAATAATTCAAAGAGGGTGGTAAAAAATAAAAATAAAATTCCTCTCTTTTTGTGCCTCAGTCCTACAGTTCCTGCTGATTAGCTTAGCCCCTCTGAAAAGGATACACACACTATATCATTTGACATTTTATCTCTAAGCCATGTATTTAAATTTCTTGCTATAAAATTATCACTCTAGCTCCTGCCCTGCCCTCTCCCCACTCTCTCTCTCTATTGGTCAGTCTCATTTATTTATTTTTCTTTTATTGCTTACTTATTTTCATGGCTTTAAGTAATATATTTAAACCTGTACTATTTATGCAACTTTATTTTTGACAATTTACTATTTTATTAAAGCAATACATAAAATAATTTAAAAATAGAATAATCCAAGAAGACTTACAATGAAAACTCTAGTGTTCCAACTCATTTAATCTTATCCTTTGGTTTTATCCTTCCCCCTTCCCCTCCTGCCCCCCCCCCCCCAATAATCACTTTCAACTCCTTTGGCTCTTATGATATTTATCTATATATTTCTAAATAATATTCTCATTCTGCATATATTTATTATTGTTAAGCATTATGTATTTGTGGAGAGTGGCTACAGCATTTGGACAGGTTCAAGCCTCGGACTAATGAGAGGGCACAATCCTCTCGTGGGAAAGCCACGTGTAAGTCCCAGCACAATTATAGCCACAGGCTAGAGTTGTAAGCTTGACCTTATGGTCCGAACCAGTGGTCCCCCGTGGCTGAGTGATATGGGCTGTGGGAGGTGCAGCAAGTAAACAAAGCTTGATCAGGTGCATGTAATTGAGTAGATTCGAAACCCATGAAAACGTTGTAACCACGCCCTTACTTTGCCTTGTGGAATCTGGCTATAAAATAAAGATTCGGCTTGCAGGCCATGGCGCTGTCTCTCCATTAGAGAGGGCAGTGTCCCACCCAGACCCAGCTTTCTTCTCTTGTCTGTCTTTTCTCAATCCTTCACCGCCCCCTCTCAGGCTCACCGAACCTGGCTGTGCTGGCACGGCACAGTATTGACTTAGTACTATTAAGAGATAATAGGGTTTAGGTTTTTGCCATCTTTCCTCACAGAGTAGTTACATCCCACTCCTTGGTTAATATTCAGTGTTTACATTATTATGACTAAGAAAGTCTTGATCTTTGCCAAGCCAAGGTAAGACAAACAATGATCAATGAGTTTATTTACTTACAAGACAACTCTTTAATTTGTATGGAATTAATAGTTGATCTTGTTTTTTGGTTTATTTTTCTAAGTCCCCGTTGCTGATTCCTGCTACATGCTCCCATAGACCTGTCATAATCTAGTAATCTATATCCTAGTGCTCAGACCTATCAGATGCTGTTTCAATTCCATCCATTCCCACCTAGTTCCTGGAGACTCATTCCCAGACCCTTTCTATTCAGTGGTTCTGAAATGAGCTGCTTATTTATATTATTATTTATTATTTTTAGAGAGAAAGGGAGGAGAGAGAAACATCAATGTGAGAGGGAAACATTGATGTGAGAGAGAAACATGGATCAGTTGCCTCCCATAGATGCCCCAACCAGAGATGGAACCACAAGCTAGGTATGTGCCCTGCCTGGAAATCGAACCTGCAACCTTTCCGAGTATGGCAAGGCACTCCAATCAACTGAGCCACCTGGTCAGGGCTAGCTGTTTCATATCTTAGGTCTTTTCTTTGCTGTTCTCCTTATTTCTTTGATTCTAAGTCTTTGTTTTAATTTTCTAATTTTCACTGGAACAGATCCTTCAGAAAATGCTTAAGACAGTATGCCTGGGAAATACATTTTTGAATCCTTAAATGTCTTAAAATATCTATTTTTCTTACCCTTACAGTTAATTGATGGATAGGTTGTATGTAGAAGTGTGGGTTCTCTCAGAATTTTGATGATATTTCTCCATTGCTATGTGCCTTCCAGCACTGCTATGGACTAATCCATGATAGTCCAATCCTTGATACAATGTTGTTCATCATTTTTTCTCTCTCAGTCTGAGATATTTTAGTACCTTCTCTTTATTCATGTGGCCTTGCTTTAGAATGCTTTTCATGCATTGACCCAGGTCCTTGCTGGGACTTTTAGATATGGAAACATGTTCTTTAGATCAGGGAAACTTTTTAGAATTTTTTGTTTTCATTTTATTTTTTTTCCTACCCCCTGGTACTCCTTTAGTAAAATATTGTTATAAATGTTATTTCTGTCCTACTTTCCATATTTTGTTCTTAGTGTTCTACTTTCTGGGAAATTTTCCTGACTTTGTATTTTAAGATTGTTATTGAAGTTTAAAATTTATTTATCTTTTTTAAAATTTTTCAATAGCTAGTTCTTATTCTGTATACATTACTTTTAAGTAATATCTTGTTCTTTTTTCATGAATACAATGCCATATTTTTCTGTCTCTGAAAATATTAATTATAAGGTGGCTTTTGGGGGGATATTACTTTCTGCTCATACAAAGAAATGAAACTCCAAAATATTGACCGATATCTCTGTATGTATGAGTGACACCTCTCTAATGGTCAGCTTCTTTCAGCATGATGGGCAGCAAGAAGATTTAACTATTTGCATGCTTGTTTTAATTTGAAATGAACATGTATCTGCAGTCTTTTTTTGTAGGTGCTCAATGCCTCCTGAGAAGGTTTCTGTAATCTCCTCTTTATTTAAAAAAATATTTTTATTGATTTCAGAGAGGCAGGGAGAGGGAGAAAGAGTTAGAAACATCAATGATGACAGAGAATCATGGATCGGCTGCCTCCTGCACAGGTTGCGAGCCTGCTCCCCAGGGATGTGCCCTGACCGGGAATCAAATCGAACCGTGACCTTCAGATTCATAGGTTGTTGTTCAACCATTCAGTTGTAATATCCTCTGCAGGAGACCAATTTCAGCATGACAGCAGGGCTGCATCTGGGAATGGCTGAAGGCCCCAAACCTGAATAGGATACATTACATTGATTCTTGGCTGCCAGGCAGCTAAAAGGCATCTTAATCTACATGTTATTGCCTCCTACTGGCCAAACACCTGAACAGCCGTAAGCTAATTCCCCCATTCTGCCAATGTTTCAGTATACCCTTTGAAGTCTGTATCTCTGCCTTGCCTCAGGACAAGTTGTGTTAATAAAAAGCATGGGGTCCTGGGGACAACGAGAGAACCTAAGGCCTTACAGCGGTTCTCAACCTTCCTAATGCCACGACCCTTTAATACAGTTCCTCATGTTGTGGTGACCCCCAACCATAAAATTATTTTCGTTGCTACTTCATAACTGTAATTTTGCTACTGTTATGAATCGTCATGTAAATATCTGATATGCAGGATGTATTTTCAGGGGTTGCGACCCACAGGTTGAGAACTGCTGCTTAGGCTTAAGACCTTAGAACTTAGCTCCTTTAGCTAAGCTCCTCTGACCCCCAATGCCTTTCAAAATTATATTTCGTCTCCGGACTCTTTATTAGTCTCTGGATTCCTATTTAACATCTACGCACAGCCTTCTCCAGATTCCTGAACCCTTCTTGATGCTGGGACAAGAACCCCGGTAATCCTCTTTATTGATCTATCTACCTTAGCCTTTTCTCTTGAGCTTCTACTGCTTGTATGTGCTATGTAAAATTAAGAAGTGAGTGCTTCTAAGTTTATGTTCAATTTCACTGCCCTTTTCATCTGCCAGCCGACTGAAGGATCCCGGGTTCGATTCCGGTCAAGGGCACATGCCCAGGTTGCAG